CAGCTCCTGGAGTACGTGGGAGAGGGCCTCAAGGACCAAGAGAAGGACATGCTTCAAGTCTGCCAGTCCCTCTTCCGCAAGCCGGCCTCCAAGGCGACGGCCACGCCCGCCCTCTTGCCCGGGGAGGAGGGAGCAGGGACGGAGGAGCGGGCACAGAGCCGGGTCCGCGACACCGACCGGGTCATGGCCAGCGTCGCTTCCTACAGCGACCACGCCCACGTCCTCCTGGCCGCCCAGGAGAACTACTGCCAGCTCCGCTTCACGGACCCGAACCTGACGAAAGTTCTGCATGCGGCGGAATGGCTGGCTTTCTCCGACCTGGTGCAAGGGCGGCAGATGGAGGGGCTCCACGTGATGGAGGACCTGCACCTGGCCACCGCCGCCGCCCTCCACCTGCTTTGCCGCGTGGAGACTCGTCCGCGCCTGGCCCTGCCCCGCAAAGACCACGAATACCGGAGCGCCCGCCTGAGCCGACAGCACATTCTCCAGTCTTTCGGCGAGGGCTGCTCCCTCCAAGCGCTGTGGGCACGGCGTCCCACCCCCGTCGTCCTGGATGTGGTGTCGCCGCTCATGCACATCTTGAACCCGAGCCTGCGGCCCGTGAATCCCGACCTGTATTCTTTCGCAGAAAAGGCGGGTCTTCGGCACCTGGTGGACGTGTTGCTGGCCTGTGGGATCTCCTACGTCCAGAGCCCTGGCAGTGGCCTCTCCCATCCGCACCAGCATTCAGGGGCGCCTGAGCGTTTGGAAATGCTCCCGGCACTGGTCCACCTGGCCGAATTCGGTCTGGCGAACGACGGAACGGGCGCGCCAAAATCCGAGACCTTGCCAGTGCAACGCCCGCGTCCGCCGCGCCTCCTGCCCGCCTTTGTCAAGCTCCTGGCCACGCAGGAGGCGAAGCTTGAGGCCTTGCGAAGGACAGAGCTCCGCAAGACCGATGCGTTGAAAGCTAAAAAGGGCATGTCTTCGTCGACAGGGCAAGGACCTCGCTCGAACGGTCTGCCCTCCAAGGCGGCTGCGTCTTGCGAGGCCACCCCCGGCCCGAATATTGCGCCCCTGGTGGCGAAAGAGGAGGAGGAGCCTGGGCCAAAAGCATGGTACGTGAAGCTTGGAACCAAGCGCAGCACGACCAAGACAAAATCTAGGACGCAAACCGACGGGAGCCCTGTAGGGGATACGGGCACCCGGGGGCTTGACCTCGGGGAGGGCCTTTTTCCTCCCGAGCACAAACAGTCCGCAGCGAAGAAGTCCACTGTACGCTTCAAGTATGTCGCAGGATACACGAACGCGGTGCGCCGCCCTGTCTATATGAAAGACATGATCTAGGTGAAGGGCGGGCATAAGCTTGAAACGTGAGGAGCTAGTAGTGGGAAGGAAGAAGTTCAGGGCAAGAGAGACGTGGGAACGTAAAGTAGGATAATCGAGGACCACCCGAGTCATCAAAAGCACTAACTGGAGACGCAGTCAACATCGCATTTTCATGCTTTACACACACATATTCCCAGTGGCATGGAGACCGTCTTTGGCACCTTCTTTTGCTTTTCCAAGCTCTTACGCCTTTCGGACTCAGAACGTGACATAACACCCTTCCTACTGAGACTCGGCCTTTGTGTCGACCACATCCGGCTTCAGTGCCCCGCCGTAGACACGACTTAATGGACCTTTCCTTCCCACGACGGGCTAACGTCGCAACAGGCGTGACACGTGTGACCGATACAGTTGGCCGGGCGTCCGTACCACAGGAATGAGCAGCATGCCGGAAAGTCTCTAGACGGACAAAGAGCAGGCAAGGCCCTCTGTGCCATGCAACAGCCAGCATGCCCAGAAATGCGGACAGCACCCCCTTCCGACGACACCGACCATGCGGGGCCTGTGCGTATCTCCCAGTACTGGCAGGCCAATGAAATGCCCAAGGTAGGAAGGAGGTATTTCTTTTCGGGCTCGTCTTTGTTCGTTATAGATATGTCACCCATCCTTGTACTCCCTTACGCGCCTGTCTCCTTCCCCCCCGTTTCTTCCCAAAGGGCCTCATCGTCCCCCTCTTCCCGAACAAGAATGATACCATAGTCCTCCCGCACCGGCACCCGCCCCTTTGTCTGAAATGCGGGACGGCCGCCAGCCCGTTCTGCACGTTCCACCATCGAGGGAGCATGTCGACAGCCGTTTGGTCATGCGCCATGTGCGAGACCGAAAATGCGGCGGACCCTTCGCACGCCGGGCGCTCTGCCTCGGGGGTCCTTGCGCCCGAGTTTGTGCACCATGAAGTGGAATACCGGACCCCCCTGACGGACCTGAGTGCCTCGATCTCCTCCATGCTCATGCGTCGCTCCCACTCGACTTCCTCCCTGGACGGCTCCAACGCCTCCCTTGCGACTGCACCGCCACCGGGGCTGGTCCTCGTCATCGACCACAACATGATCTCGCGCGCCGAGGCTCTGGGCGTGGTGGAGGCTTTGGAGCTCACGCTGCAGTCGCCCGCTCTCGACCCCGCCACTCCCTTGACCCTTCTCACCTTCGGGGCCTCCGTCAGCCTGTATCGCCTGGGCCGGTTGGGGGGGCGCGATGAGGAAACGCAGGCCCTGGAGCACGACGTGTTGGATAGGGCGATCACGGGGTCGGATCGGGAGCGTCTCTCCGCCGGGTTCGCCCAGGGAGAGTACTGGGCGCCCCTCTTCGCCGCCCGCCACGGACTCTTGGCCTCTCTGCGCACCATGGCCCACGACGGCACGTTCCGAACGCAGGAAGAGGGGACGGGCGGAGGGCGGCGCTTGGAAGGGGACGGGGCCAAGGCGGAGGAACGCCGCTTCTTGGGCACGGCCATCGACTGCCTCAACCAATGCTACCCGGAATGCCGACGGGCAAGGGTCTGGGTCTTCACGACCGGGCCCCCTTTCGGCCCGGGAGACCCCGCCCCCGGCTCCAGCGTTCTTGCCGCCCCGCTCCTGCTGCCTGGGGAGCGCCGGCAGTACTTTACTCGTCTCTCCCAAGGGGCCCGCCAGCGCGGCCTGGCTCTGGATGCCTGTTGCCTGGGACTGGCGGCCCATTTCGACACCCTCGCCCTCCGTACCTTGGTGGCCCGGACGGGCGGCAGTGTCCTCCTCTACCCGTCGGCCCGCGACAGGGAGCTGAGCCTGGACCTGGAGAAGCTCCTGACCGTCCAAACGTTGCCGGAGCCCACGGAAGTGGCCACCTTGGAGCTCCGGGTCTCGGCCCATATGGACATCGCCAGCCTTCTCCTGCCGGAGGGCTGGGCGGAGGGAGGGCGGGAGCAATGGGAGGTGGAGGCGGGCCCGGCGGGGGCGGGAGGGGCGACGGCCTCGTTGCGGCGGAGCAGCGGGAGCACGGGCCGGCTCTCCCGGTCGTCGTC